CCCGATCCAGGGCCCGGAGATGCCTGATAAGAATATTGGCTATTCCCTTCTCGCGTCCGCTTGCCGCTTGGGCGCTTGCCCCGTGGCCTTCCACCCGGCGGGGACCCGGGGACAGCCGCACGTCCGGGATACTCGGCCCAGCCCCCCCCCCCCCCTGGCCCCCAACCCTTCCCCTTTCCAATCCACCATGCCTCGCGTTCCCAACTCGAATTTCCACACTCTCGTGTTTTCCACCTTTAAGTTTTCCACTTTTCCACCACGTGTTTCTTAGTTTCGTAGATCTTACCCGAACGTTTTCGCCACCCTCCGCGCCATTTTCACGCCACCCCTCGTGCTCCCCCCCCCCATCCTCTTTGGACGGCATTGTGGGATCAAGCGAGAAGTCAAACATTTGTCGCCATTGTTGTCGCTATCCAATATACGGCCAGCCGGGTTGCCTGCCTTGCCTGCCTTGCCTACCTCGTTGAATGGAAAGAAGGTCTGCACAGGGCGTGGCAGGGCCGAGGCCGAGGGGGGTCGTCGCTAAATTGCTTTGTGCGCGTCGGGACCGTCGGGACGTCCGTCTGGAAGGAGAGCTGCTGTTTGTCTCGGCCTAATTGTGATTGTTGACGCTTTGTCAGAACCGTGGCAGCGTGGCTGGCCTGGGGCTGCTGGCCCTGTGGCCCACGCGGCCAGCGGTTGTGTCTCTCTAGCCTCGTACGAGGAGCGGGGTGTTGTCCTCGTGCGGAGAGGGAGAGGGGAGGCATTCAGGGGGTGTCAAAACTCCAACAAATTGGGGAGCAGCAGAACACTTGTAGGACGCGGGCAACTTTGGACCCCGATTCAAGTGGCAGCCACAAAGTTGGCGCAAATTAATGACTGTTGGGGAACACCCATACTGGCACCACGCCGCGCGAGGTTGGACAAGGAACCCGCCCCCGGGCCTGTGTCTCGTTCGAGCTCTCGTTCGAGCTCTCGTTCGAGGTCTAGTTGGTGCTCTCGTTCGAGGTCTAGTTGGTGCTCTCGTTCGAGGTCTAGTTCGTGCCCTTGTTCAAGGTTTTGTTCGAGGTCTTGTTCGAGGTCTCGTTCGAGGTCTCTTGCTGAATGTCTTGTTCGAGCTCTCGTTCGAGGTCTCTTGCTGAATGTCTTGTTCGAGCTCTCGCCCGAGTTCTAGCGGCACAGTGTGGCGGCCGTGTGTTTACGGTGAGTGGAGAAAACTGGCGTGACCCTCGCCGCGATGAATCTTTAACGCAGGACCCCAAATAAGTGGTGCGAAGCGGCAGCGAAGGGTCGCAAGAGGTAGCGTTCTCGGGCGAGGCCGCCAGGGTGGGGAGGCGCAATATTAGTTTGGAGTATGTTCGATGGTCGGCCCGCCTGTTGGCCTCCTTGTTCTCGAGTCTGAGACACACGCCTGCACTTTACGAGCCCTAATGAATTAATTCTTGCCAGTGTGGTGGCCAGGCTCGGCGTGCTGGTGCATGCAGGCGCACGGGAAAGGGACGGGCAAGAATCCGCTCTGGCATGCGAGCATCCGGAGGCCGACCTTTGGAGTACCTGCCCTCTCTCTCTCTCTCTCTCTCTCTCTCTCTCTCTCTCTCTCTCTCTCTCTCTCTCTCTCTCTCTCTCTCTCTCTCTCTCTCTCTCTCTCTCTCTCTCGCACACCCCGAGGGCACCGTCTGGCCCACGCGGCGGGCAGCATGTGCCTTCGCAGGGGCGGGGCGAGAGAGCCGCTACAGTTGCGTTCGGTAACAGCGGTCCGATTGCGAAATAGTTGCGAGCAAGGTTCGGGCGGCATTGTGTTGTCTTGCATCTCGCTCCCTCCTGGAGCTCCATGCCGGAGCTATGCGGGGCTACGAGGCCCGGGGCGGGGCCCAGGATCGGATCGGCCGAGGCTTACGCTACGATAATTTCCTGCGCAATAACTTATGGAAATACTACGGGGCGGCCGTACACGTAATACACCTGGCGCAGCACCGCGCAGCGCAGTGCAGTGTTTGTGGGCCACACTTGGGATTAGCTTCGGAGATAAACATCGCGGCAAGGAGGGACTTCGCCAAAGTATCCGACGCACTGGGGGGAGGTGACAATTTTTTTGCAGCGGTCTGCGAAGAAAGAACGACTTGTTTTGGACTCCGTACCACTCCGTACCGCAGGCTGGTCCGGTGGATCTAGTTTGAGATGCAGCGACTGCAGCAGCGCGGTGCCGCCTGCCGGCTGCTGCTAGCATCCCGGGTTCAAACCCAGCCCGCGGCGCACGGTTGTTTAAAGTTTTCACGAGCGGCACGTGGGCATATTTAGGTGGGGCTAATACTCAGCGCGCACAGAGTTCTGTCCTAACTGGTGGACGCCCCCCCCCCCACACACACACACACACACTCGCACACTTTAGGTGGGGGTTGCAATCCCATTCACAGGAGGCAAAGTTGAAGTGTGCGAAGTTTGGTTGGACGGGAACTGGGGCAGGCGACTTGGGTGGCGGCCCCCCCCAGAATAGCGGTGCTCTCCAGGGGAAGGGAGAGGGGGAGGGGGGGGGGAGTTTGGAGGTGGGTCCAAATAACGGGATGGGGGCTACCGCCACTTACGCGCGCGAACGCACCGTGCAAGTCCAGGAGTCTGGAGAGAATGGGAGGGGGGGAAGGGGGGGGAATTAGAAGCAAGAATGGAGGGGGGAGACAGGCTCGTCTGGAGCGCGGGAGGGGACCCCCCCCCCCCCGTCCGGAAGCGTCGTGATCCCCCTCACGCGAGGCGCGGCCCGGCGCGGCCGGCACCGCCCGCCATTCAGGCGCCGTGTGAATGGGAGTCGCAGCGTCCTGCCTTTGACGCGTCACAAATCCGCTTCTCGGGCCGGCGCCTCGCCGCGTCGCCGCGCCGCCGGCGTGCGTGACCCTTGATGTGTTAAGCAGAGGCCCGGGCCGCCCGGCCAGGTGGCGCCACCGTCGTGATGGGATCAGGAGAGAGAGAGAGAGAGAGAGAGAGAGAGAGAGGTGGGGGGAGGGCGCGCCAAGTGCCTGGCGACGTCAACGTCCCCGTCAGGCCGGTCGTCTCACCTTTCGGCGGCCGACCCAAGGCGGGCCCCTCGGGGGGCGTTTCGGATTGTGTTCTGTTTGCGATTTGTGGACGGTCCCCTCGGCCCCTTCGGGCGCTCGGCCTCCCCTCGTGTCCGGCAGGCGAAAGGAAAGGTCGCCGAGCTGGCATTTCACATTAGCGGCTTGCTGCCCCGGCCGGACTCTCTCTCTCTCTCTCTCTCTCTGTGTGTGTGTGTGTGTGTGTGTGTGTGTGTGTGTGTGTGTGTGTGTGTGTGGCGTTGGATACTGCGACATGCACTGATGTCCGCGTTTTTCAAACTTTTTCATTCCCAATTTTTTTTTTTTTTTTTGGCGGGCGCGGGCTATCCTCCGAGCGTCGACGTGCCACACCCCTGCTTAGCGCCACCTGCCCCCCACCCCCCTTTTCCCCGAACCCCCAACGCCACCCCCTCCCCCCACCCCCAGGCCAAGTTAAGCCCCCCCGGTATGCCCAGCCGATTCAGAAGCCGTGAGGAAGTGCTAGTGAATGTTTGCCCGTACATTGTTCGGGAGGATCTCTCTCCTTCCGCGCCGACGCCCCTGGCTGTCCCCTCTGTCCGTCTGTCTGTCTGCCTGTCCCTTGCTAAGCGGTCCTTCAAGGGGCTCCGCTCCATCACGAAAGTTACGTGGCAGTGTGCTAATTTCCAGGAGTGCGCCCTGGAATCTCGGCCGGGGTGTCGAAAAACACTGGGGAACGCGGACGAGGCAATGCAGGCAAGCAAGGCCCACCCGGTGGAGGCGGCCGGCATTCTACCCCTTTGACCTCGCCAACAAACGCCCATAACTCCCAAGTTCTGGGCTTCACTGACAACAAGTTTGCCTGCCGGGCCGCACCACCTCGACACCCATGCGTCACGTGAATTTGTTGCATTCGCTCGCGGCTCCGAGTACGTTCAGCTGAATTTTTAAATATTTTCTTTTCGGGACGCAAACTGTGATTGGAAGAAGGGCTGGAGAAGGTGGAGCGGGAGAGTCCGGGTCAAATCTGTGGCGGGCATCTCGAGGCATCTCCTCGCCGAAAGTCGGACGGTCCTGTTCTTGGCCGAACTTGGTCGGAATGCGGAGAGCAGCGGAGAGCAGCGGAGAGCCCGGCCGCGGACAAGTGAATTACTTACTTCTACAAATTCATTCCCCTCGCTGTATCGACTTTTAGTGGGAAGAGGCGGCAGTGGCGGAGGCGGCGCGCCCTGCGGTTCTGCAGCAAACTTTTGTGCAAGCTTTGGCGGTCTGCTGCTGTCGGCACGGAGGAGAGGGGGAAGGGGGAGGGGAGTAGCTGTCCCACCGATCCGTTACTCTCAACAGCTGTGCATCAGTCGACATGGCTGCCAGCGGGGCGGGGTGGGGCGGGGCGGGGTGGTGCGGCGGGGGAGGCTGATATGGAGAAGGTGTGGAAGGGAGGCGGCTATCGTTCGTGGAGGGGGTACTCGCCAACTCGTGTCATGCGGGCCTCTCGCAGCACAGTGACAGTGGGCCCTAACTCAAGACGCGTTTTGAGCTCCAGAGTCGCTAAACAGGCCTCCAACCGAGCGTGTGACCCCACCAATGGATTCCTCGTTCGGAGAGCAATCCACTGGTGGGGTCACACGTTCGATTCGAGCCTTATTTAGCGACGCTCTGAAGCTCAAAATGGGTTCGGGATTTTGGCCGGCCCACTGTGTGCTAGTCGGAGGCTCTGTCGGCGGGCACGTAGATGGGCCGAGAGTTTGCGGGCCGCGTTGACAAATAAAACAATCTCTCGCCCCGGAGGCCTGGAGCGGCCTGGAGCGGCCTGGAGGGACCGTCTGGTCTCCCTACAGGAAAGGGCAGTCGTAACAATTGGCCGCCCTTTGGCTGGTCCTTCATTTCCTTTCCGTCCTTTCGGTCCTAGCCCCCCGGGGTGCCCCGAAGGGGGCTCATAAAGGTTGAGATGCTTACGGAATCCGTTGTGACGTTTTGTTGTTGTTGTTGTTGTTGCAGTGGTGCGGCAGCACTACGAGGTGCAGGTGTACGACGAGTTCGTCATCCTGGGCAACACGGCGGTGCTGCGCTGCCACGTGCCCTCTTTCGTCCGCGAGTACGTCACGGTGACGGGGTGGGTGCGCGGTGGCGACCAGCGGATACTCGGCGACGCGGACACAGGTGAGTCGACTTCCATTTTTTTAAAGTAACAAGAAAAATGGTTATTTTAGAGACCAAGAGCTTTCCAGGACGGCAGCCCCGCCCCAATAGTCCGGCGCCGCCCGTACATTTCGGCGTCAGTCTACTTTAGGAGCCCCCCAACTTTTTCCAAGCCCGGGGATGTGCCTACGGGGTGTCAAACTTTGCCAAGTTCCCGAGTCTGCAAACATTATGGACATTGTCCCGGGCGTTTTCCCCCCGAGCCCAGGTATCCGCTGCACCCTCTCGTACCTTTCCTATCTTTTTTAATTGGCGAGTTCCCACGTATTTTATGCAGATTCGCGGCAGGTACTGGAACAAATTTTGTATCGGAAGCATAGAAACCTAGTTTCCTTGCAAGCTACCGAAGCTATTTGATTCTTTTTACCACGCCTGCAATGCGTACCCCCTTTCCCGCGTGCTCTTTGCTCTCAAAGACTTCTTTTTTTCTCAAACGCCATCTTTCTTCCCGAAATTCACTCCGCTCGTGTGGCAGCCATGCCGAGCCCCGCCACTGTAATGGGCCCGTTGGAAGCGCTGTGGATCGCCTCGGAAGCGCGCGCCGCCGCCGGGGGACTCGGGAGGACAAAAAAAACGTAATAATATTAATACCGAAAAAAAAACAATACTTACGCCGCAGAAGAAAAATGGTGGCACTCAATGGGAAAGAAAATTTTCCCACCCGCCGCCCTCAGCGGCCCCCTCTAGTGGAGACAAGCGCCGTTATTCTGTGGAGAGAAAATATTTCAAATTGCTGTCGGCAGTTTCGGCCGGATGCGTGGCCTCGTGTGTGGGGTGTGTCTTTGTGTGTGTGTGTGTGTGTGTGTGTGTGTGTGTGGGTGGGTGTGGGTGTGGGTGCGTGTGTGTGGGGGGGGGGGGGTGCAGATGCGGCCGGAGTGTGTCGTCGTTAGCGAGTCGTCTAGACGGCGTGTGCCCCGCGACTTGGCCGTCGAGGAGGCGACTTTATTTCAATGGCCGTCGCATGGCGTCGCGTAAATCGCGGGCGTTATGTGGCGCGCTCTCATGTCGGGATTATGTAAACCGGTTCGCCGCCAGTTTACGAGCAGTGTAGGCGAGCCTGGGCGACGAGGGGTCAACCCGCACTGCACACGCCTCAAGGTCTTTTTTTTAAAAACTTTTGCTTAGTCTTGCTTGGCGTGCTGGAGAGCACCTTGTCGGAGTGAGCACCGCCGCTAGCGAGCACCGCTGTCCCATCGGGCGGCTCCATTTGTCACGAATAACCATGATCTGTGGCTTGCTGAAGCAGTATGCCGTGAGTGCGTCTCGCGGCGCCGGCGCCGAAACGGCAAGCCACCGCTACCGAAAAAGAAAATGTTGTAAAAAAAGATGCTTAGGCACGTGGCTAGTTGCAACGGAACGGGAAGACGGATGGCCTTGATGGCAATCAGCGACATGAACAATGGGGAGCGTGTCTAACCAGCAAGCCGCCCGCATCCAGCGGGTGACCTCTAAGTGCCCCAGGTCCGGATCGCTCCCCCAAGGGAAAAAGTCCCTAACGTCCCTAACTAAAGGGATATTTCGCGGCCCCTTGTTATAGGTACAGTACCAGGCTCGGACTGGCCAGGGCAGACAGGCAGAAAAATCTGCCGGGGCCTTCGGGTTTGGGACCAGTAACGTCACAAAGTTGGTCAAAAAGTGGTCGAATCTCGGAAATTTGCTGATTTTGTTGACTTTGGGCGGCCACTGTGTCCAATCTAGTTTCCGTAAAAGGCCTCCCTCGACGTCCTAGTATTCTTAAGACCCTACTCTTTCATGCCCTGTATCGGGAAGACGTTGACCACAACGAATTTGCCTTTGACCGCAACGATTTTGGTACCAAAGTTGCTCAAAAAGTGGTCAAATCTCGGAAATTTGTTGATTTTGCTGACTTTGGGGGACCACTGTGTCCAATCTAGTTGCCGTAAAAGGCCTTCCTCGACGTTCTAGTATTCTTAAGACCCTACTCTTTCATGCCCTGTATCGGGAAGACGTTGACCACAACGATTTTGCCTTTGACCGCAACGATTTTGGTACCAAAGTTGCTCAAAAAGTGGTCAAATCTCGGAAATTTGTTGATTTTGCTGACTTTGGGGACCACTGTGTCCAATCTAGTTGCCGTAAAAGGCCTTCCTCGACGTTCTAGTATTCTTAAGACCCTACTCTTTCATGCCCTGTATCGGGAAGACGTTGACCACAACGATTTTGCCTTTGACCGCAACGATTTTGGGACCAAAGTTGCTCAAAAAGTGGTCAAATCTCGGAAATTTGTTGATTTTGCTGACTTTGGGCGGCCACTGTGTCCAATCTAGGTGCCGTAAAAGGCCTCCCTCGACGCCCTAGTATTCTTAAGACCCTACTCTTTCATGCCCTTTGTCGAGAAGGCTACTGACCGCAACTAGTTTGGGAGTGGTAGCCTCACAAAGTTGGTCATGAAGGGTAAAAACAATGATGATCGGGGGCCTTTTGCGGTCTTATCCGCCGGGGCCTTTTGGGGGCCAGTCCGAGCCTGTACGGTACCCATGGAAGGGCCAGTTCCTATGGATACGGACAGTCCCCTCCAAAAACGTGCCCGTGGACAGAACATTGCGAGAGGCCCAAACCCTTGTTCGCTTTTGGTCCGGTTGTTGTGCAGGGCTGCTGCCGCAGTTTGCGCGGTCAGTGGTGAAGGGATGCAACTGGAACTGGTTGGCAGGGCCGCGTGGCGGCGTCCGTGGGTGTGCACTGCACTGTGCAGCGGGTGTGCAAAGAGGACAGCGAGGGAGGGGGCAGGTGAAGTCCTGGCGCCACTGCTACCACCAAGGCTGGCTGGCTGCACGTCCCGCGACTTCTGCCTCCCGTAAATATCCATTAGAGCTGAACGTTGGCTTGCGTGCACCGACGTACTAAATCGCATCGCCTTCTGACGGCGAGTGCATGCCGGCCGAGTGGCCAGTCACTGCTATCGCGGCCGACCCGTCCCATCGACACTGTCAGGCAGTGTCAGGACGCCGTCACGCGGACTGACATCTAGCACAGCGGAAAAAGGCAGCGCGGGTGGAGAAACGGGATCCTTTTCAAAGGGAACAATCTGTGTCCGGTTCCCCTCGGCCCTCGCCGCTTTCGCCGCGTTCGCTCCACCGGACGGGACGCAACGCCTCCAAATCCCCTTAAATGTTCGTCCGACGCGCTTCCGCCAACTTTTTTCGTTAACTTTCCTAGGCACGGGGGATTATTGTTTGCTGGTGAAAATTGCGTTCCGCTTCGGCCTTGCCGGGCAACGCGGAGTCACCGCGTGTGTGTCCGTCTCGCTCGCGCACTCGTGGGCCGTCCCGCGGGCCGCGGGTGCGAGAGAGACAGAACCGGTGTGCCAGGCTCGCGCGCCCAAACGGTCCGCGAGGTGAAATGCGAACCGGAGAGGGACTTTGGCTACTTTGAAAATGAGTTTCCCGGCGGCCGGCCAGAGGCCAGACTAGGCCCAGCGAGGTGTGGGCCGCACAGTGGGCCAGAAGACCGGTGGAGGCGGTTGAAATCCCGGACGCGTTTGGAGCTCTAGAGTCGCTAAGCAGGACTCAAACCGGGCTCGTGACCCCACCAATGTATTCCTCGTTCGGAGAGCAATCCATTGGTGGGGTCACACGTTCGGTTCGAGTGCCATTTAGCGACTCTGGAGCTCAAAACGCGTGTAGAGTTTCGTCCGCCTCCACCGGCCTTCTGTCCCACTGTGGGCCGCCACGAGATTGCCGCTCCTGGCGGAAATTTGCCGCTCCAGCTCCAGCGGATGGTTCCACGATGAGACGTGCACTGGAACGTGGGGAACAATCACTGCTCGCCACGTAGCAAGACCGTGAGACCTGGTCGAATAATTTTTACATGTGTCATCTAAAGTGTCGTAGGCGGAACCGCTGGAAAGCGATCTTTTTTTTCAGCGAGGCAGCTTTGCTCGGTGGCCGCCAGCCGGCGCCACTGCCGTGCCCCCGCGAGTTTCCCGCGAGGTTCTCACTGTCCCCGATCCAGAGCTCTCGCGTCGCTTTGGCCCGAGACACGCCCCCGCGACTTTTAGAGGATTCCGATGCACTATGGGCAAAGCCCTCGCCCGCCTGTGTCAACAGCCCCCACTTCCAGTGCCCCAGTGTTTCTCCAGCGAGACCCCCTTCATGTACTCTGTGCGCCCTCCGCTGCGTGGCTGAAGTGTGACCCCACCAACGGATTCCTCGTTCGGAGAGCAATCCATTGGTGGGGTCACACGCTCGGTTCGAGTCCCATGTAGCGACTCTGGAGCTCAAAACGCATTTGGGATTCCGACCGCCTCCACCGGTCTTCTGGCCCACTATGTGTCGGTTCACTTTTTAGCTCCGATTGCGACTGCGTAGAGATTCGCTCGATGAGGCGGGAACTTTTCCCCTTTTCAGGATTTCCTCGAGCAGAGGCTTGCCAACCGCATCCCCGTGCCGGCTGACTCACTCTGCCTGCACGTTTTCGCGCCATTTTTCCTTTGTTTCTCTTTTCTGGCCTTTATTCTTTTGTCTGGCCGGCTCCAGCGGAAAGCTTTCAGGCTCCCCGATTGGCTCCAGGCCGCTCCAGGCCGTCCACGTCTCCACGTCCGTCGGATCCATTTTCCGTGGCCGCAATAAGGCCAGTCGGTGGGGGATATTTGTGTTTGAGCACGCTTAGGGATGCGAGTTGAGCTCATTCGCCCCTACCCGGCCCTCCCCCTGTCTGCCCCCGCCCCCGCCGCAGACCGTTTATACACACTCTGTCGATCAGCTGTCCCGAGTGGGAGTGGGCTACCACTCCAAGCACGCTTCCTTGACGCTCGCCTGCCCGCCACTCACTCTGTTGCAACACACTATTAATTTTTCGACTATTTTTTTTGTTTGATTTATTTTTTGATTTTGTTACATTATTTTTTGATTTTTTTTTACATTGTTTTTTTTTTTCATTATTTTTTCGATTTTTTTACACTTTCTTTAAATTTTTTTTCTTTAAAGTTTAGCATTGTTGTTTGTAAGTTGTGTCTGATGATTTTGGATACCACCAAAAAATCACTTATTCGCACACAAACAATTTTTTTCATTCTTTTTAGCGCTCCTAGTGAATAAGCATGACAATGGGCGTGTCCAATCCCGACCTTTGACCCCGACTGACCCCCGCGTTGGGGCCTTTGCGCCTTTCACAGTGCCGTAACCGCGGGGCCCCGCCGGGCCAGTTACGCGGGGCGTCCTCCTACACTACTTGTTGGGTGTCGCGGCGGCGGCGGCCGGCCGGAGGCATCGGCACGCCGGGCACGTCCACTTTCGATTCAGATTTTATGGCGACCGGGATAACCTCAACAGCCTACCAGTGTGGGCGCACGGGCACACGCGCCGCCGTGGCCCGCCGCCAAGGTGCGCCACACTGTGTGTGTGTGCGTGTGTGTGTGTGAGAGAGAGAGAGAGAGAGAGAGAGAGAGAGAGAGAGAGAGAGAGAGAGAGAGAGAGAGAGAGAGAGAGAGAGAGAATTATTGTCATCTCGGGCAGGTATATGTGTGTGGAATGCCTTGGTGCGTGAGCAAGTATACTGGAGACATAGTGTCATTTTAGTATTGAAGGGCCCATTTTTCTCGGCGTCTCCCAAGACCTTGGTCTACCACTACTTGTAACGCATAGTGAATTTCGACTGCCTTAGTCTCTAGTTCTTTGTGTTGTTGTTGTTGCTGACGGTGTGCTGGTGGTCCGCAGGCGGCAGGTACTCGGTGTTCCCGACGGGCGAGCTGCACATCCGGGAGGCGCGCGCCGAGGACGGGGCCGCGTCGTACCGCTGCGAGACCCGGCACCGCCTCACCGGCGAGACGCGGCTCAGCTCCGTCTCCGGCAGGTGAGTCCCCCGCACCACCCACACGCGTTTTGAGCTCCAGAGTCGCTAAATGGGACTCGAACCGAACGTGTGACCCCACCAATGGATTGCTCGTTCGGAGAGCAATCCATTGGTGGGGTCACACGCTCGGTTTGAGGCCTTTTTAGCGACTCCGGAGCTCAAAACGCGTCTCTGGCCTGGTCTTCTGGGCCACTGTGGGGCCCCTCGTGCGGGCCTTGTTGGTGGATCGAGCCTCACTCCAACTAATTAGTCGCGGCTGGCCGGCCGGAATCACATTTCGGCGCGTCCCCTCCCCTCCCCTTTCACTCTTCGTTCCGCACGTGCCTCCCCCCCTCCCCCCTCCCCCCTCCGGCCGGCCGGGGCTCTCAGAGGTTTGGCCGCCGAAGGACGCCGCCACGCCACTGCGAACGTGACGTCTAAACTTTCGTTTCCGAGGGACTGTCCGGTGTCCGGCGCGGCCCGTTGTCCAGACAGTTATTATCGGGGCGTCTGCAAGACGAAGGCGCGCGACGTGTCCCTGCTGCGCTGTCTCCGTCTCTCTCGCACTCACGGCGCGCCCCGAGTCGGGCCGCCCCGAGTCGGGCCGCCCCGAGTCGGGCCGCCCCGCCGGCTGTGTCCGGTGCACTGTCCGAGGAGGACGCGCTTTTAAAATTGCGTCCCTGACGGATGTTGCAAGTCCCCGGGTCCCGCTGCTCCCTTCCCCATAACGAGGCCGGCGCCCCGTTGCCCCGTTTCCCAGTGTGCTGCCCCGGCATCGCTGCGGGAAGGAGTCACGCTGGTCATTCCGCCGGCGCCATAACCCGCACACGCTGCGCCTGCACTGCCAAATCGGCAGTGCAGCGGGCAAGCGCGTAGCGACACAGCGGGCATCAGCTGGTGACATCGTACAGTGGGCCAGAAGGCCGGAGGAGGTGGCCAAAACTCAAGACGCGTTTTGAGCTCCAGAGTCGCTAAGCAGGACTCGAACCGAACGTGTGACCCCACCAATGGATTGCTCTCCGAACGAGGAATCCATTGGTGGGGTCACACGCTCGGTTCGAGTCCCACTTAGCGACTCTGGAGCTCAAAACGCGTCTAGAGTTTTGGCCGCCTCCACCGGTCTTCTGGCCCACTGTGCGTCGTGTCCGCAGCTTCCGGCTCGCCCACCCTCCGCCTAATTCCTCCCCGTCGTCGGCGTCCTCCTCGGCGCCGAGGTCGTTATCGTGTCCGTCATGTCCACGACGACGGCGGAGGGGCGGCGGAAGGGCCGTGTGAGGGCCGCGCCGCCCAGTGCAGGCCGCGGCAAAGCCCGGCCAGGGCCCAGCGGCACGGCACGGCACGGCCTGCACGCCGTTAACTCAAATGCACACCTCCGCCAGGCGCCCGCAGCGTGACAAATAGGCGTGTCACGTGATAGCGGCAGGGGGAGACGTGTCTAGAGCTCCTTGTGTGTGTGTGTGTGAGTGTGTGTGGCGCGGAGAGGGTTTCCCGTTTTCAAAATTAAATGGGGATGCGAAGAGATAAAGACACTTCCAAAGACCTGCCAGTTGTTATTTTTTGGGGTATCAGACCAGCCTTGATACGCATGCTCAAACGCGTGCATACACACACGCACACACACACACACGCACACACACACGCACACACACACACACACGACGTCCCCCCGGCGCGCAGAGCCACAGGGATAATACACAGCCTGCCAGGACTACTTACCGACGATACACCATTCGCTACGCACAACGCCTTCGATATTAGTCGCCGGGACGTGCCCTTCCGTCCCTGTGTGGGTGTGTGTGGGTGTGTGGACGTGTTTGTGTGTGTATGTGTGGGTAGGAGGTGGGGGCTGGTGGATATGGCTGAGCCGGCGCTTCATTAGGATTACGGTTGTTCGCTTACAGCGCAAGGGGTGTAATGGTATTCGAGGGAGAGTGAGAGGGGCTCGAAGCCTGCTGGGCGTCGGCGGTGCGCGCTGTAGTGTACACTGCCGCGTGCGTGTGTGTGTGTGTGTGTGTGTGTGTGTGTGTGTGTGTGTGTGTGTGTGTGTGTGTGTGTGCGAGTGCGAGGTGGAACTGAGCCGCCTCAACCCAGCCGCCGCCGCCACGGCGCGCCTCGAACCGTCAGCGTAATGGAAATCACACGGGTGGCGCCGCCTGCCAGGGCGCCGTGTGTGTGTGTGAGTGTGTGAGTTAGAGAGAGAGAGAGAGAGAGAGAGAGAGAGAGAGAGAGAGAGAGAGAGAGAGAGACTGCTCGACAATGCCCCCCGCGTCGCGACGCGCCACTGCGACTCGCGCAAGCCACACGCGCATTGTCGTTGAATTGCCGCTCTCGGCGTCTGGAGGTATGGAGGTCTGGAAGTCTGAAGGTCTGGAAGTCAGGAGGTCTGGAAGTCTGGAGATCTGGAAGTCTGGAGGTCTGGAAGTCAGGAGGTCTGGAAGTCATGAGGTCTAGGAGTCTGGAGGCCTGGAAGTCAGGAGGTCTGGAAGTCAGGAGGTCTGGGAGTCTGGAGGTCTGGAAGTCAGGAGGTCTGGAAGTCAGGAGGTCTGGAAGTCTGGAGGTCTGGGAGTCTGGAGGTCTGGGAGTCTGGAGGTCTGGAAGTCTGGAGGTCTGGGAGTCTGGAGGTCTGGGAGTCTGGAGGTCTGGAAGTCTGGAGGTCTGGAAGTCTGGAGGTCTGGAAGTCTGGAGGTCTGGAAGTCTTGGAGGTCTAAAGGCGCCCGGGGAGGGCACGGCAGTCTGCGCCGAACTGGAGTGCCTCTGGAGAGGCGAGTGCCACCGCCACCGGCACCTGATTCGCGGTACTTCGACGAAGAGGTTCCACCTGACACCTACGACGCCGGCGATGCGGATACCTCATCGAACGTTACAGAGTCGATTTAAAGTTTTCGTGCGTTCGGTGTAGTCACACCCACCCATCCACCCATCCATCCATCTGGCCATTCCGACGAGACTGAAGCGGCGAATCGCTCAGAGGGAGGGAGAGAGAGAGGGCCTCTAACGAGCGGGGAGCGTCCCTCACCGTGCCTCCCCGCGGGGCCCCGCCGCGTCCGGGACTTACTGCGGTGAAGGTGACATATTGGGCCTCGGACTCGCCCCGCCCCGCCCCGCCCCGCCCCGCCCCGCCCCGCCCCGCCCCGCCCCGCCCTGAAATATGGACGGCCCGTAATGCTGCAGCCAATCATGCAAAGTCTCTGCTCGCGGGGAAAGAGAGCACGGCCGGTCTCTGGGCTGAGGGCTGCGGGCTGCGGGCCCCTGTGGACCCGAGGGTAGGCACCACGCCGCACAGCCCAGGCCGACGGGCGGGCCCAGCCGGCCAGGCTGACTTCTTCCCGACCGCCACCGAAGCAAAGGCCGCGAACTGGAGGCCTTTCGTTCCATCTGTGACGCTACCAGTCATCGAGGTGCGTCGGACGGAAAGCAGTGCCTTCGCGTCGGAGCTTCCCGCCGGGCTTGGCACACTGTCAGTCTGCCTGGCTGCAGGGCCTGCACGGCCGCCCCACTAGTTTGGACCGCTGCCACGCCGCCTTGTATGGTTCTGCCTGCTGTGTGTTCGTTCGCCATTCGATACCACGTCACTGTAAACCGCTGCAGCGGAGGTGAAGCCAAGCCCGGACAGGCCCCACCGCACCTGTTCGCCCCCCCCCCCCTCTCTCTCTCTCTCTCTCTCTCTCTCTCTCCCGACTGACCCCAATATTCAAACCGGACGCGTGGCCGTGCGGCCATCCCGTGACCGTCATCCCTGGCATTGCGAATGGATGACACTGTGGCGGTGTTTCTTGTGTATGTCCGTCCGTCTGTCTGTCTGTCTGTCTGTCCGTCCTGACAATCCTATTCTAGTGCAGGTGCCTATGTTTACCCGGCCGCGCGCACTCGAAGTGACTTCTTCGATGCATTTCACATTTCATTCGGACAAAGCGCACGCTAGCCGAGTGTTTGCATAGTCAAACTTACCTGGACTCCCCCCTTCCTGAGAATTTTTTTAGTAGTTGTGACTGTGTGCATTATTATTTTTTGTGGGTAAAACTTAATTTACAGTCCCAATTTTTATTTGATTTTTGTTCGTAAACAAAGTTTTACCCACCCCAAAAAAGGAAAGCACACAATCACAAATACCACTAAAAAAAATAATTTTACAGTGCAGTTTATGCAGGCCGGCCGAAATCGAGTGCCCTGCAGTGGCGCAGCTCGTGAAACCCGTCGTCCCTTCCTGGCATCCTCCGTCTTTTTTATCCCTCCCTTTGTTTCAGTTTCATGCATGCGCCGCCGCACTGGAAGCGGGAGGCTTGGAAGACGCACTGCCGGACTCTCCAGTGGAGTCCGGTCATCTTTTTGCCCCCCCCCCCTCCCCTCCCCTCCGGTCGCTCTGCGTAATCGCTGTCGCGGTTGATGAATTTGGACCTTCCCCCTCCATATCTTTCCCCGACCACCCCTTTTTTTGGGGGGGCCCCGCTTCGCTTAATATGCCGTGTTTTGCTCTTCGCCGGCCAACCAACCAACCCAATCGGGGAAGGCCGGCCGGGCGCGGTTAATATTATTACCAAGAAACGAGGAATAATTGCATCAACTTCTTTTTTTCGCGCACTCTTTGGAGTCGTGGTGGAGCTATCGGGCATTTAGCGGGGAGACTTGGAAGGGGGTGCGCGTGTGCAGAGTCGCAGGAGGCTAGTCTATTTTGCATGTGTTTTTGTTTGTCTTTGTATTTCCGAACTGCGACGTCGAGCCCGACCGTGCCGTGCCGAGTCGGGCCGGGCCGAAGTCAAGGTGGATCGGGCGGGGCAGATCCGTGAAGTTGAGCCTCCTCGATAGATCGCATCATCTCGATTGGATCGCGAAACTCCCCCACTGCAATATTTGGGATTAGACAGAGATGGAGACAGCGGGCCGGTCTGCCGCGAATAACGTGAGTCCGCGAGACCCCCGGGGGGGAGGAGGGGAGGGGGAATCAATCAAACAATGCCGAGAAGTCCTCCGGAGTGTCCTGGATGGGGCCGGCACACTGGAAGTGCGGGGAAAACGTGTCGGAAAGGGAACGGAGATCGCCGCAGGTACAGTGGTAATCTTTTAAGCGGTGGATCACGCGCGTAGCTTGGCGGGCGTTTTGTCAAGTGTAAGCCTGTTGCAGGCGACGGACTGATTTCGGCGGTGGAACTCACTTTTTTTTTTTTTTTTGCCTTTGATCAGTTTGTCCTGAAAACCGCCGACAAAGTTACTGCAAAGTCCGCTGGAGTTACATTTGTTACTCTGGCGTGGCAGTTTTTTTTGTTTTTTTTTATCCAAGAAGTCGTGTTTTGAGTGTGGTCCACAAGTCCATGAAACTGACACGTTCTCCACGCCGTGCCGTCGACACGACGGGTCCCTGCTTTTCTTCGCGGCGGCCTGGAGGCCTCTGAAGGCGCGCCTCTTCTTATTTTACAGGGTGGTGGTGGCGCCGCCCCAGAGCTCCGTGCCGCCGCGGGTCACTGACTCTCGCAGTGTGGTGTCTGGGCGTGTCAAGGACTCCCTGGAGCTGCCGTGCGCCGCGCAGGGCTCCCCCGCGCCCGAGTACAGGTGAGTGTCGTGCCGCCGGGCCGCCAGGACGAACCAGGACGACGCTCAGTGGGCCAGAAGAACGGTGGAGGCGGCCAAAACTCTAGACGCGTTTTGAGCTCCAGAGTCGCTAAACAGGCCTCAAACTGAACGTGTGAGTCCACCAATGGATTCCTCGTTCGGAGAGCAATCCATTGGTGGGGTGACACGTCCGGTTCGAGTCCCATTTAGCGACTCTGGAGCGCAAACCGCGTTTAGAGTTTTGGCCGCATTCACCGGTCTTCGGGCCCACTGTGCGATGCCACGTGCCTCGCGAAATGAGGAAGACAAGAAAGAGCGGTCGAAATGAGCGTTTTGACGCCGTTTCAAAAGTGCTCTCTGTCTCTCTCACTCCGCCGCGGGACGCGGGACGCGCCGTGAGTGCGAGAGAGACAGAGCACCTCGTCCGGGTTCAGCGCGCTGACGCGCCGCGCAGACTCCCGTTCCATTTCCGGAGCGCGGATCGCAGCACCTCGTTGATAAGACAGTCGTGTGAAATGTGCAGCCGCTCTCTTTCGGTCTCTCTCTCTCTCTCTCTCTCTCTCTCTCTCTCTCTCTCTCTCTCTCGCCGAGTGGGATCGGCCGGGCTATATTTTCGCCGGCCGCCGCCCACCCCATATCACACCACCTTCATCTTGAAGATGAATCGAGGCGCCCCGCCCCGCCGCGCCCCGCCCCGCCACGCCCGCCACGCCCCGCCACGCCCCGCCACGCCCCGCCACGCCCCGCCACGCCCCCGATGACATGCCGGAGCGAGAGAGACGCCAAGAGTAATGGCGGCCGGAGCGTGCGGGTGTGTGAGTGAGAGCGTGCGTGTGTGTGCGGCTTAAAGCGTTAATTGAAAAAGGAAACGTGTTAGGCGGACCGCTCGCCCGCGCGGCCCTTCCCGGGAGGTGGGTCGCTCCGCCGTCCAGAACGCCGCACAGTGGGCCAGAAGACCGGTGGCGGCGGCCGAAACTCTAGACGCGTTTCGAGCTCGAGAGTCGCTGAACAGGACTCGAACCGAACGTGTGACTCCACCAATGGATTCCTCGTTCGGACAGCAGTCCATTGGTGGGGTCACACGTTCGGTTCGAGTCCCGTTTAGCGACGCTGGAGTTCAAAACGCGTCTTGAGTTTCGGCCGCCGCCACCGGCCTTCTGGCCCACTGTGCGCCTCCCAGGCCCAAAAGGCCCCCTTGATCAATCAAAACTCGGAGCAATCCCCGCGCCAAATTGCTGACTAATTGATCCGCCGCTCATCCCGGCTTACGGAGCTTGCGAGCCGCTTCTGAAAGATGCACTCCTCGAGGGCGGCGACGCGGCGACGCGGCAACAAAACTTGCCCTCTCGTCGTAATTGGAGAGCCAGCCGGGGGATTCGGACGGAGTGGAGACGCTGGAGACGCTGGAGAGGCACGCCGCAGGGAGAGAGAGAGAGAGAGAGAGAGAGAGAGAGAGAGAGAGAGAGAGAGAGAGAGAGAGAGAGAGAGAGAGAGAGAGAGAGAGAGAGAGAGAGACGTCGACATGTTTTATATTTATTTGGCCGCTGCCCAGCACTGATAATTAGGGGACGTCGTTTCTCAACGTAAGAGGCCCGGGTCAGTGGGCAGCCTGCGGGACGGACTGCGACAGACGCTCCCTTCCTCTCTCTCTCTTCTCTCTCTCTCTCTCTCTCTCTCTCTCTCCCTCTCTCTCTCTCTCTCTCTCTCTCTCTATCTCAATCTCTCTCTCTCTCCCTCTCTTTCGCACTCGAGATGAAGAGGCCACGCGCCGGCACGGCTCACCGGGCTCGCCAGGCAAGCCAGGCACGCGGTGCGTCGAGGGCTTCCGGCAGCGGAACAACACGTCGCCGGGCAGGCCCCTCCTCCGCGGCTATTTGTGGACGCCGACCTGAATCACCGCACAGTGGGCCAGAAGACCGCTGGAGGCGGCCGAAACCCCGGACGCGGTTTGAGCTCCAGAGTCGCTAAATGGGACTCGAACCGAACGCGTGACCCCACCAATGGATTGCTCTCCGAACGAGGAATCCGTTGGTGGGGTCACACGCTCGGTTCGAGGCCTGTTCAGCGACGCTGGAGCTCGAAACGCGTCCGGGGTTTCGGCCGCCTCCAGCGGTCTTCTGGCCCACTGTGCGCCGCCACCCCCACCTGGGCGGCCGAAATTAGGCCGCCACATAACCCTATCGCGTTGAACAAAGAAAAAACATCCGGCCGTTTAATGGTGGAGCGATAAGCTGGCCGGCTCATCAGGCGGCAAGGCGAGCCGAGCCGGGCGGACTGGGCGGACTGGTCGACCCGGTCGGACCCGGTCGCCGTCAGGCCGGCACTTAATAGCTCTTCCATTAGGCAGGGGATTATGTGGGAGTGCCACGGACTGGCGCTTGAATTATTTTGTTTCGGATTGTTTCGGAAGGCTGGTCCACTAGTAAGTGTGTGCGAGAGAGAGGGAGGGTCGCTGTCACGCAGCAGCAGCACTCTGGTGCCGCTCTCTCCCTCGCCTTTGTCGGGCGCCGGCCGAGCGAGAGAGACAGAGGCAAGGATGTGTGGCGGTTCATTGTCGAGGATCGGCCGCGTCGAATCTATTGAGTTGGTCGGCGTCCAACCTGTCACTGGCCGCCGCGCGAACTCGTTTCGTTTATGAATGGACAATGCGCTGCCCAACCATTACCGCCTGATTAATAAAAGAGTGCCAATTCTCTCTCTCTCTCGCTCTCTGTTGTGCAACGTTGCACGCCGTAATTAATAATTGTTCTCCGTTTGCATGCACCACGACTTTGTCAAAAACTTTGCTGTTTTTATGGTTGTTGTTGTTCTTTTTTTGGGTCGTGTAATTAGCGGGCAATTTGCGCCAATGGGAACACGCACTGTACTCCTCTGCCGATAATGGGTCGCGTCAAAGCAGAAATAAGGGGAGCAAACCGCGAATTCACCCCCCCCCCCTTTTCGGCCGCCCGGCCGCCCCCGCAGAACCAGGCCTCCACTCTATAAAGCAGCTCTGGCGGCCCGCTGAGGCGTGAGGGTGCCCCGTGGGGAGGGGGAGGGGGAAGGGGGCAGGGGGACGTCCTGGCGCCCCCATAAACCACAGCAAGCTTTATTGGTGAAAGTCTGTGTAAATTAGCGGGCCGCAGAAACAGATAGGCAGGTGCCGACCCCCCGGGGCCACCCTGAGTCCCCCTTTGGGGTCCCCCCCCCCGGCCCCGCCTGGGGCTCAGCGACGCAACCCCGAAGTTGCGTGCCCCCACCCCCCTTCTTTTCCTTCCAACGGGTGCACCTCTGGCAGTTTGGAGCGCGCAAAAACCTTGTTTGGCGGGGAGTTGAGGCCGCCGGCGATCAAGTACTCCTCGGCCTCGTTCGTGAGTGACCCCGGGCCGGGGCCACCATGCAGCCGGCCGGCCTCGGCAGCGCGGGCCCGCGCATTAAAAGCCGGTTAAAGTTGTTGATAAAGATGATGAAGAGGTTCCTAGTGGTGGGCGGGCGGTGCGGGCTCTGTCTCTCTCGCACCCTGTGGGCCGCCCCCGTGAGTGCGAGAGAGACACAGCGACGAAAACACGTTTGAGGGGTCAGTAGGTTAGCGGCACTGTCCAGGACGTGGTCGACGTGTTGCTGAAAGAAATTTCGTACACAAGGTTCACTTCCAGCTCGAAATTTCACCCGCGCACAGCGACGACCCCCAGCTTGTTGTCGGCGAGGCACTGGAGCGGCACTGGAAGGCAGAAGCCCATTGGGCCAATCTGCGGCCCGCGATACACTCTAAATATGGCCTGGCGCGGCGTGGCTCGACACGGCCAGGTGTGTTTATTAACCGGCCTCGTTTTAGGGCCTAACTGTGGGCAATCCATTGGTGGGGTCACACGTTCGGTTCGAGTCCTGCTTAGCGACTCTGGAGCTCAAAACGCGTCTAGAGTTTTGGCCGCCCCACCGGTCTTCTGGCCCACTGTGCAGAGGCAGCAGCCTGCCGGCAGTTAGCACCTAATTTTCGGTTCGCGCACCCCGCTCGCCGCGCCCTGCGCCCCACGGGGCGGCGGCCGGGCAGACCGAGCAGGCAGGCACGATAAGTCCGGAAACTTTTTTGTGGAAAATGCCTCGAAACTCGATTACCGGTTTTAGCGCGGCGCTACATCGCGAGGGACGCTCTCCTCGCCTTCCGCCGAAGATGAGGAAGACGAGGGCCTTCTCGGCGTCGAGGCCGCTCGTCAGGCCGCGCGCCCGCGACTCGCCCGCCACGCCGCGATCGAGTTTAGCCTCAAAGCGGGCGGCTGGGCGGCGGGGCGACGCGAGCGCCCTCGCGCGGCGCTAACCAGCAGCTTGAAACTGACTAATAGGTTCCCGCCATGCGTTTTACGCCCCGCCCCGCCCCGCCCCGCCCCGCCCCGCCCCGCCCCGCCCCGTGTACCCTAACGAGCAGACCATCCCGCGGCCCGTCTTTTTTCCGGGGGAGGGGGGGGGAAGCTTTGGCCAAAAGATTTTCATACCATGAATAAATGGCGGCCGAAGCGCGCGAATAGACCCGTGTGCCGCCACGCCACGCCGAGGTGGTGGAGGAAAAAGGAAAAAGGAAGGGAAAAAATGTGTTGGCGAGATGCTGTAGAGTACACGCGACGTGACGTAGCGGGGTCATGTGGGGCCCCTAAGATGTCCACCTATTACTCCAGGGTGAATAATTTAGGGGTCGGTAAGCGTTGGCTGCTGGCGGGGAGGGAGGAGGGGGGGAGGGGCTCGCAGTGGAGTGGGGGATCTTTGGCGGTGGCAGATGCTGCGACATTAAAGGAAGCGTTGCTGGAGGGGCCGTGGCGGCCCGTGGTCCCATTGCTGCGTACTGATGCCTGCTAATATCGCCGCCGCCGCTGCCGCTACACTGGTGCGACACTGCTGCTACACTGCTAGTGGCGGCTGGGGGGCGGTTTGTCCGACGCGCTGCGTGCGCGCTGGTGGAGCCCCGCAGCCTCGCCGCCGCCCTCGGAGTCGCGGAGGCGGGTCCCACAGTGGGCCAGAAGGCCGGTGGAGGCG